GAGTCGCCCCCAGCCCAGCCCACTGCTTCCCTAAACACGCCTCCAGGCCCAGTTCCAGCCCCTCTCGACCCACCTCCCTCACCTAAAGACCCGCCCTGTCTGGTACCCCAGGTCCCAGGGCCAGGAGCTCAGAGAGTGAGGTTCTCTGAGTGGGAAAAGACCTGGCACGTCTGGACCTATCTCCTCCACCTTCCCAAGTCTAACTCTGCTTTTGTCTTTGTGGTTCTGAAGGCCATCTCAGAGAACCCTCTTTGCGAGGAGGGGGTGGCATACAGGACCTGGGAGGCTGCCCACTCAAAGAACCCAGACGTCTCACCTGCTTCTCTCTCCCCATCTCCTGTGTCATCCCTCTCTCTGTCTCCCTCCTTTCCCATTTTGACAGAACTGGACTCAGAGGACGCCCCACCATGCTGCCGTCTGGCCCTGGGGGAGCCCCCTCCCTATGGCGCTGCCCCCATCGGCATTCCCCGGCCACCACCCCCTCGGCCTGGCATGCACTCCCCACCACCTCGTCCAGCCCCCTCACCTGGCACTTGGGAGAGCCAGCCAGCCCGGTCAGTGAGGCTGGCAGGGCCGGGAGGGGGAGCTGGGGGTGCTGGGGGAGGCCGTGTTCTTGAGTGCCCCAGCATCCGCATCACCTCTATCTCTCCCACTCCCGACACGCCAGCCACACTGGAGGACAACCCTGATGCCTGGGGGGACGGCTCCCCCAGGGATTACCCCCCACCAGAAGGCTTTGGAGGCTATCGAGAGGCAGGGGGCCAGGGCGGGGGCCCCTTCTTCAGCCCGAGCCCTGGCAGCAGCAGTCTGTCCTCCTGGAGCTTCTTCTCAGATGCCTCCGATGAGGCAGCCTTGTATGCAGCCTGCGATGAGGTGGAGTCTGAGCTAAATGAGGCGGCCTCCCGCTTTGGCCTGGGCTCTCCGCTGCCCTCGCCCCGGGCCTCCCCTAGGCCGTGGACCCCTGAAGACCCCTGGAGCCTGTATGGTCCAAGCCCTGGAGGCCGGGGGCCAGAGGATAGCTGGCTACTCCTCAGTGCACCTGGGCCTACCCCAGCCTCCCCAAGACCTGCCTCTCCATGTGGCAAGCGGCGCTATTCCAGCTCTGGAACCCCATCTTCGGCCTCCCCAGCTCTGTCCCGCAGAGGCAGCCTAGGAGAGGAGGGGCCTGAGCCACCTCCACCACCCCCATTACCTCTGGCCCGGGACCCTGGCTCTCCTGGCCCCTTTGACTACGTGGGGGCCCCACCGGCTGAGAGTATCCCCCAGAAGACCCGGAGGACTTCCAGCGAGCAGGCGGTGGCCTTGCCTCGATCTGAGGAGCCTGCCCCATGCAATGGGAAGCTGCCTTCGGGAGTAGAGGAGGCCGGGCCCCCTGCTGGGGGTCCTCGGAAGGAGGTGGCCGGCATGGACTACCTGGCAGTACCCTCCCCACTGGCTTGGTCCAAGGCCCGGATTGGGGGACACAGCCCTATCTTCAGGTGAGAGTTGTGACTGGCCTTGCCGCCATCTCCAGCCATCTCACCCAGAGAGCAGGAGGGTCAAGGGATGGGTTTCAAAAAAGGTCCTAGTTCTTTGCCCTTGAAATTTCAAAAGAGAATCTGCTACCAACTTGGTTGCTGCCATCTACTCAGTTTTAGGGAGAATTAAAAAAAAAAACACCCCCTTTGGACAGATGATTTGCAAAAGGACAGTCAGTCCCTGTGGATCAATTAGAGTAAGTCCCTCCAAATCCAAGAAGGACCACATAGGTAAAGGAGGAATTCCTCTAGGGTACCCTCTGCCCCTAGCTCTGTGCTGGAACATGGGCTGGATTTCAGCCCTACAATGGGCAGCAGGAAGTCCCCCTTCACTATTAATTTCTAGGGCCTGCTTTGTGGCTTAAAAGTATACCTGCTCAATTTGAATAAAATAGCATGTATTTGCAAGTCAAAGAGTTCATATTAAAACAACCAGTTCTTGCGGTTCTTCTACCTCTTTCATTCTCAAAGAACCCTGTCTATTTCAGTAATCTTAAACTTTGGATGTCAAATCAAGCTGGCTCCATCCACAAAAGTTTCCTGGGAGAAAGAAACTGTAGCACCTGTTCCTCTGGGTTCCTGTAGGGCAGAATTTCTCAACTTCACCCCTACTGTTATTTTAATATTCCTTTGGATCCTTCTTTGTTGTGTGTGGCTGTGCTGGGCGTGGCAGAATGTTTAGCAGCATCCTGGCCTCTGTCCACTAGATGTTAGTAGCTAGCACCTCTTGCCCTGCTTGTGACAACTGAAAATGTCTCCAGAAATTGCCAAGTATCACCCCAGGGGCAATTACCAACTGAGAGCCCCTGGCCTAGGGTAACTAGGTGCTCACTACAGGAGAGTTGTGTATCTGTAACCCCAGCTCTCTGGAACTCACCTGTCCAGCCCCAGCTAGCAAAATCGGCGCTGGCCTGGGAAGGGATTGCTCAGTCCCAGCTGTCAGTTGCTGGCTTGCTCAGCCCACTACGTTCTACTCTCTGGGCCTCAGTTTCTTTATTTGTATCACAAAGAGGTTAATCTCTGAGACCTTTTCTGGTCTGAAGTAGTGCTTTGCTACGTAACCCTTCCCATGAAGGCCTAGGGGTTAGAATGTGCTTGGGGTTCTTTTGTTTCCAGGGGAACCCTTGCCAACTCAGATCCTGTGCTCAGAGCTGTGAAGAAGGGACTATCAGTCTGGTGCCATCTTCCTCATCCTCCTCACCCTCAAGGGGCTCTGAGGGGCCAGTCCCCTGTCTCCCCTGCATCTGGGGTTTTGGAGTGTTTTATTCCTGCTTTGACTTCCTTCCTCCCACACCCACCCTGCTTCCTCCCTCACATCCCAGGGAGCTGGGACCCAGGGCTGCCCTGACCGGGGTCTGAGGCTGCAGGTAATCAGTGCTCTTCTGTCGATGTCTACCCAGGACCTCTGCCCTCCCACCGTTGGACTGGCCTCTACCCAGCCAGTATGAGCAGCTGGAGCTGAGAATTGAGGTGCAGCCTAGAGCCCACCACCGGGCCCACTACGAGACAGAGGGCAGCCGGGGAGCTGTCAAAGCTGCCCCTGGTGGTCACCCTGTCGTCAAGGTAAGGGGCAGAGGCCAGGTCTGATTGATAGCCTCTCTCCTCTCCAATCCCAGATCCCTGCAGATGGGCCCCAGCTGTGCAGACCCATGGCACTGCCCTTTCCCACACTCCCTCTCAGCAATGACCCTGTAGGCGGCCTGGAGGAGGGACTGGTGTTGGGGGAGGAAGGGTGCACTTCAAGGACCCGGATATACTTTCTATTTCTCTGTCCCTCCACCCCCACTCCTCTTATCCCATGGGACACCAGCCTCCTGTCTACTCCGGAAAATGGTGGCCTGCCAGATGTGGGGGAAGGGTTAGGCTGAGGGCAAAGTTCACTGGAAGTTAGGTTGTCTCTGTTGAGTTGGGCCAGTCTCCCTTGGAAGATTTTCCCCTTTGCCCAGCCCAGTTTGGCCCTTATTCCAAGAATAACACTAAACTCCAGGCCATGTTTTCTCCATCACTGGTACCCAATTCCCCCTGGGAATCCCTTCCAGGATATCCTTTATCTTTCACTCCTCACCCCCTGGTGGACTGAAAACTTAGGGATGGATGAAGGATGAGACAGTGGGGATTTCAATTGGTTGGCCTCTGTCTCCCTCTGCCAGCTCCTAGGCTACAGTGAGAAGCCACTGACCCTACAGATGTTCATCGGCACTGCAGATGAGAGGAACCTGCGGCCTCACGCCTTCTATCAGGTGCACCGTATCACGGGCAAGATGGTGGCCACAGCCAGCTATGAAGCTGTAGTCAGTGGTACCAAGGTGTTGGAGATGACCCTGCTTCCTGAGAACAACATGGCAGCCAAGTAGGTTCCCACTCCTCTTCCCTTTAGTCCTCAGGCTTTAGGACTAGCCTTTCCCAAGGGGGCTAAGCTAGGCCCACTCTTCCTCTTCCCAAAAGAGTTAGACATTTTCTCTAGGAGCCGGTGTCAGGCCTTCTCACCGTCTAGGAGAGAACCTCGCAGCTGGGGGGCACTCTGGAAAGGCCATCTCTGGGTTAAAGTAGGCCCCTCTAATCTCCCAGAGAAGGTCATTCAGGGCTTTGGATGGAGGGTGGGGGCTTACCTCCTGGGGGACATCACCGTTCTGGTGTCAGCTAGGAGGGCTTGCCTTCCATTCTTTGCCTTCAGCATTGACTGTGCTGGGATCCTGAAGCTTCGGAATTCAGACATTGAGCTGAGGAAGGGTGAGACGGACATTGGGCGCAAGAACACACGTGTGCGGCTGGTATTCCGGGTACACGTGCCCCAGGGCAGCGGAAAGGTCGTCTCGGTGCAGACAGCATCGGTTCCCATTGAGTGCTGTGAGCAAAGAGGCCCTGTGCCATCTCTCTGTCTCTGGTCTGTCTCCCCATCCCCTCTGCCTGGTGTGCTGTGCCCCGCTGGTCCCGGGTAGCTTTGTAAAGGACCCAGCCCTTATTTCTATCATGAATGGGATGTGGGAAGTGTTCTACTGCCCCTGCTGCAGATTCTGTCTCTGGGCTGGACCAGAGGGACCTGGTCCTCCATCTGGCCCTGGGTGGCCCGTTGCACTTGCTTGCATAGCTCCCTGGCCTGCCCTGTTCATCTCTCTCTCTCTGCCCAGGAGTGGTTCCTAACAGTCTGTGTGAGCCCAGGGAGATGGTTGTTTTTCTTGTGTGTCTGTCACTGAGGAGGGCTCCCCCAGGGCCCTGTGACAGCTATTCCCGGGAGGATGGTGGTGCAGGAGGCTGTCCTCTTGCCTAGCCAGCCCAGCCAGGCCTTTCCTGCCCTGCTCTGCAGCCCAGCGCTCGGCCCAGGAGCTGCCCCAAGTGGAGGCCTATAGCCCCAGCGCCTGCTCCGTGAGAGGAGGGGAGGAACTAGTGCTGACTGGCTCCAACTTCCTGCCAGACTCCAAGGTGGTGTTCATCGAGAGGGGCCCTGGTGAGTATGCAGGGCTGGGGGAGGGCAGGCAGGAGGAGCTTACAAGGGGCTTGGTCTCCTTATCTGTAAAACAGGACAGATAGACTGCCCTTCCTATCATAGTGTATGCTTCCTGTGTGTATAAGAGCCATCTGAAATGCTCAGGATGGAGAATACATGTAAGAAATCCACATTCTTTTTATTAAAGAGGAGACAGCTTTGAGCTGATTTACCCCTGTGTGGATAGGGAAGATAAGGAGAAGGGAAGAGGTGATTTTACATCCTCACAGCCCCACTCTGAGCCCCTCCTAAGTTACAGGACTGGGGGCACAGCTATGATTATTAGAGCCTGTAAGGTGCCTCAGGATGGAGCTGCAAGGAAGACTGAGGGGTACCAGGCACACCCACCAACCTGAGGCATCTGCCCCCCCAATCCTGCACACCAGGAGCCTCAGCCCCTACATTCAAATTTAGCACCCTGGGGCCACATCAGAGCAGAGTCAGGGGTCATGGAACTTGGGGTCTCATTGCCTCCCTTCAAGCTGGGACACTTTCTTACCTTGGAATTTCCTTCTAGCTCTATCATGGGAGGGGAGATTGGACTTGGGTGGGAGGGTCAAGAGTTGCTTCTGGTCCCTGGAATGACCCTGCCATTTCTCTTGGCATCAGTTTGCAGCTCTAGATCTTAAAGACAATTTTAAACCCTGCCTGTTCCATTCGATCGCGTAAACATGCAGTGGGCTCCTCTGTGAGCCAGGTCTTGTAGGGACCTTCTGAGTCTGGCCTTGGCTCCAGCAGGAGGGGAAGGGGCAGAGGCCTGGGCAGGGGGCAGGGGGCAGGGGCCATGGAGCTGACGTGGAGCTCCCTGTTCTTCCGGCACAGATGGAAAGCTGCAGTGGGAGGAGGAGGCCACAGTGAACAGACTGCAGAGCAATGAGGTACCAGCCTCCCCACCCTGGGTGAGGGGATGGGAGAAGTCAGGAAATGCTCAACCAGCTCTCCAGAAGCTACCTGTTCTTTTCTGGAGGAGCAACCTGGCCACTCTGGAAACAGGGACATCTCTAGGGGATGAACTTTGCTCCTTTGTGAATGGAAAAGTCCAAGAGGTGGAGTTTGGGCACTGAGAAGGGCTGGGCTGAGCCTCGATACCTGAGGGCTCCCTGCCTCTCCCTCTCCTCTTCCCCAGGTAACGCTGACCCTGACCATCCCCGAGTACAGCAACAAGAGGGTGTCCCGGCCAGTCCAGGTCTACTTTTATGTCTCCAATGGGCGGAGGAAGCGCAGTCCTACCCAGAGTTTTAAATTCCTGCCTGGTGCGCTCTGGGACAGCCATGGTGGGGGTGTCGGGATATGGGGGCTGAGGCAGGGCTGAGGGATGCAGTGCCCTCCCTTCCCCCATCATGAGGGGCCAAGGGCTGGATGAAACCCAGAAGATGGAAAGATGGTGGGAGGATGTGCAGTGGGGAGACTGCCAGCCCTCTCACCAGCATGTCCTCCCACTTCCCATCCACCCAGTGATCTTCAAGGAGGAGCCTCTACCGGATGCATCTCTCCGGGGCTTCCCTTCAGCATCGGGCCCCCCCTTTGGCTCTGACATGGACTTCTCACCACCCAGGCCCCCCTACCCCTCCTATTCCCATGAAGACCCTGCTTACGAAACTCCTTACCTGTCAGAAGGCTTCAGCTATGGGACGCCCCCTCTGTACCCCCAGACGGGGCCCCCACCATCCTACAGACCCGGCCTGCGGATGTTCCCTGAGACTGGGGGTACCACAGGTTGTGCCCGCCCACCTCCAGTCTCCTTCCTTCCCCGGCCCTTCCCTAGTGGCCCCTATGGAGGACGGGGCTCCCCTTTCCCCCTGGGGCTGCCCTTCCCTCCCCCAGCCCCCTTCCGGCCTCCACTGCCTTCATCCCCACCACTTGAAGGCCCCTTCCCTCCCCAGAGTGCTGTTCATCCCCCACCTGCTGAGGGATACAATGAGGTAGGGCCAAGCTATGGCCCTGGGGAGGGGGCTCCGGAGCAGGAGAAATCCAGGGGTGGCTACGGCAGCGGCTTCCGAGACAGTGTCCCTATCCAGGGTATCACGCTGGAGGAAGGTGGGTGTGGGACCGGGGGCTGCGAGTGTGTGTGTGCAAGAGGTTGCGCTGCGTGTTTGCTGAGGGCTGGAGCTTGACTTCCCAGAGACTGGGCATCCGTGGTCCTCGGGCCAGTTGGAGGGCCTCTGGGGGAAAGTGCTTGGTGCGTGTGGCCACCTGAATCCAGTTAACTGAATTCTGAAGGGTCCGTGGAATAGCTGCCCGGCCCTTCTCCTGCCTCTACCCTCTGCCCCAGATCACAGAAGTCTCAGGGCTAGAAGGACCTTCATGATCGTTCAACCTGACTCCCTCAATTTGCAGATTCAGGCCCTGAGTTTCAGAGAGGGGCCATGGCTTGCTGAGGTCCCAGGCAAGCGTGTTTTCCCAGTGTCCCCCTAATGTGGTGACTGTGGTCTGGGTTGCTCAGGAGGAGCCTCCCTGTTTCCCCTCTCCTTCCTCGCACTGGCTCCACCCACCTCTGGTCCTGCTGCCCTGATGTTGCAGGCTGAGAGTGAGCAGGAAGGGGCTGGCATGGGGCCTGGGAGCCCCCAGGGATGGAGTTGAGCAAGATTTGATTGAGAGCAGGTGTCAGGACTTTGGGGAAACTGAGGCCCAGTGGAAGGGAGGCCAGTGCAGGAGGAGCCTGGTGGCATCCTAGACAGAGGCCTGTCTGGAGTGGATTGGGGGTCTCTGGAAAAGGAGGCGGCCTGCCCCCAGCCCAGTCTCTCAACTGCCCCTCCTTTACAGTGAGTGAGATCATTGGCCGAGACCTGAGTGGCTTCCCTGCGCCTCCTGGAGAAGAGCCTCCTGCCTGAACCGTCGCCTGGCACCCCAGCCCCTCTCCCCTCTCCCTGCCCACTTTCCCGGCATCCTGGGGTGGTGGCTCCAGAAGCTTGCGGGCCAGTCTGGTTCTCCTTTACCCGGAAGCTCTCGCCTCCTCTCCCCTGCCCTCCCTTACTCCAGCTGAGGTGTGGCCCCCAGGCCTGGTGCTGCCTTGGAGGGCTGGGGGAGGGAGAGTGTGGAGGACTGGGCTGGGGGTGGACCCTGGGTGGGGGCTGGGTGTGAAGACTGGAGGACTGGAGTGCAGGTCGTGTCTAGACTGTACAGGCCACGGTACTGGGAGGCTGGAGACAGGCTGGTGGATAATAAACCACTCACTGACTAGTGCTTCAGGCTCCGGAACTCTTTGGAGAGAGAGAGAGAGATGGGCAGCTTACTCTAGCCCTGGCCGCAGGAGGCTTAGCACCTGGGAAGAGATGGGATGTGGCTGGAAACACTGCGTCCCCGTGAGTCTCAGTGCAGGGGACCGGCGAGTGTCTGAAGGGCCCCAGAGGTTCCCTAACTGGGCAAGTTTGGGGGCCAGGGCTATAGGTCTCTCCTCCCTGGGGATTCAGGTTTCTTTAGGAGCTTTGGGGAAATCTGTGTACTTTCAAGTTCCTCTCTTTTGCCACCATCCAGATGATTCTGATTCATAGCCAAGTTCAGGAAACATCAGTCTAGTCCCTCTCCCTCATTTACAAAGGAGGCCTCTAAGGCTCAGAAGCGGAAAGGGGGCTGCTCAACAGCACACAGCTACCAGCAGCAGGTTGAATGCTTCACTCCTGGGCTCTGGTCCCCAGCTCCCCCTCAGGCACCCTAACCCCCGAGGCTCAGGCCCCTGAGGCTTAGCTCCCTGGAGCAGGGTAGGGGTTGAGGGAGGGCTGGCATGTGTCTATCCACACTCTGGATTCTCCCATTTGCGGGGACTGTGAAGACATTCTGGAAAGATCTGTGCTTCAGAGGTAGACTACAGAAGGCCAGGCAGATTCCCAGAAGCTCTGACTGCCACCTGCCCTGGGGTTCAGGGCACTGCCTGAGGTCCATCCCATCTTGCATTCCCATATGTCACCACTGACAGGCCCCGCCTGGAAACCTGATTTGTGCCCCATCTTAACAGCTGAGGGGACCAAGTCCCTGGCGGGTTGGGGAGAGTCAGACCTTGTCTGTCCTGCTCCTGGAGAGCCTTGCACACAGGAGGCCCTGAGTACCGCCGGTCCAGCTGCCTTGGGCCGTACCCCCAAGATACTCAGGGCATTAGTACTTGGGAAGCTTGCCTCACCTCCAGGCTGGTGGGGCTTCTCTATGTCCAGTGTGTCTGACAGAACTGGCAAGTACCCCTGTGTTCAGGGTTGGGTGTAACAGAAGCTGGCTCTGGAATGGAAGACAGGAGAACCAGGATGATCCCTGGTCTGGTCATTGCTGCTTTGCGATGAATTTCCTTTATCTCCCTGAACACAAACTGCTGCGAACCATCAAGTGATTGGCTTGCTGGGCCTTGGCTGCTTTTTAAAGGTACACTGCAGCAGGGCCAGTGTCATCACCCTGTGCTCTCCACAGCAGGAGGGACCTGGCGCGTGTGGCCGTGGCCGAGCCAGCACTCCTCAGCTCCCACTCCGAGATCTCTGACAAGGGGCCTGTCAGCCTCTGTGAAGGCTGTAGCGATGGGGAGTCGCTGCCTCCTAAGGCAGACCGTTTCCCATTCTGCCAGGGCACTTCCATTTGGTCATTGCCAGGCATTTATTGTGCAGCTGCTGAATACCAGCCAGCGAGTCCTGGAGGACCTTGTAGCCTCAGGGACGACAGTAAGAAAACAGCTTATTATAACTCAACAATTCAACTTAGTAACTATTTCTTGTACAGAGAGTATGTCAGGTCTTGGGCAGGGGGAGTGAACAATTTTGATGGGGGGTCCAGAAGGAGCAGAGAGCAGGGGCACTCCATCCAGCTGTGGGGGTCAAAGAGAACTTCAGGGGGTGACTTCCAGACTGGGACCTGAAGCAGGACTGGAAATTGATTGGGCCAAGGGTAAGGGAAGGGCAGGCCAGGAAGAGCCACTGGGCAGGCCCTGTCCTGGAGAAGAGAGGCAAACAAACATGGCTTGGCATGCTTGCTGAACCGGTTAAGTTCTGGAAGTGGGGGGCTGTGAGTGGGGACCAGAGAGGGAAGCAGGGGCTGGGTTCTGAGGGGCCCCTGCTGGATGGCAGGAAACGTACTTATCCAAGGGCAATGGGAGCTTTCCCACCGGACGGTGGGCGTTACTCTGGGAGGGTACAATAGATCTGCCCCAGAACTTTACTCGGGTAGAGCCTGCATCTGCTCCCCTGCGACGGCTCTCCCGGGGCCTTGTTCTGCTCTCTGGGCCCACGCTTTGCAGGCCTAACCCCTCTTCCCATTGGAATCCTGGTGTGTGTCAGCCTCCCAGGGTCGCTGTCTCTTCCCAGGTCCCTACAGACATCTAGCTCCCGGAGGCTGGAGTTGGGAGAGGGAGGGGAAGAAGGCTGGCCCTTCAGTATTTGCCAGAAAAGACTTTCTTGGCCAACATTTCTCAAAGTGTGGTCTGAGATTATTTGCATTTGAGTCATTAGGGAGGGTTTGGGGGTTTATTTATTTAAAATTTTTTGTTTTTAATACAGATTCCTAGGCAACCCATGAGCCATTCAGTTATATTCTCTGGGGGCAGGCCTAGGTCTCTGCATTTTACAAGGCACCCTGGGTGATTCTTCGGCACAGGAAAGTTTGAGAGCTAGAGTCATCTTCAATTCAGTGTCACTCCTTCCCTCTCCAGACTCTAAAACAGCTCCCTGCCCTCTTCTCACAGGTCTTGTCTGGGCTGCTCTGGGTGGAAGGTCACCTGGAAAAGTGTACTTAGGGGAGGGGAAGGGCACATACATTCCTGACATTGCAGCTCACCTTTCCCCTTGCCTGGCTCTATCTTGCTCCATGGACACGCTGAGATGGTCTAGGGGCAGCCTGGAGCTCCATGCAGGAGCAGCTGCCCCAGAACTTTCAACTAATGTCTTTCTTTTTCTTTTGTCTGTTTTTTGGTGGGGGTGGGTGGTGGGGGTGGTGGTGGTAATTAGGTTTATTTATTTGTTTTTTAGTTAGAGGTACTGGGGATTGAACCCAGGACCTCAAGCATGATAAGCACACACTCTACCACTGAGCTATACCCTCCCTCTTGCCCCAGAGTCTTCTCCTCTGGCTGGATCTCTGAGCTGCTAATACACCTGGGGAGAGCATATTGGGTAGCCTTCCAGATGGGTGTGGCCTCTGCCTGGAGCAGTTCTGTGATGCGGTGGAGACTGCTGCCAGACTTTGTGAGCGTCCTGAAGAAGGCTGCAGAGGAATGGCATCTCATGCACCTCCTGGAAACTCCAGATGTGGGAAGTGTGCAGGGGTTTGGGGCTTTGGGGGGAGCTGGTTTTTGTGGCCTCAGCGTCTGGTTGCTTCCACAAAACATCTCAGGAAAAGAAAAGGAAAAATAAAAAAGGAGATGGAGAAGGAACTTACAGACTATTAGCAACTGAAGAGACATATTAACGGTTTGGCCATTCTTTATAACACTAAGCATAGGCTTGCCATGTGACACCACTAGAAATCTCTCCCCTACATATTGACCCTGGTGAATAAAAAATTATGTCCACAAGAAAAACCTGTTGCCAAATGTTTGTAGCAGTTTTATTCATAATCAACCCCAAATGGAAAAAAAAGATGTTCTTCAGTAGGTGAGTAAACTGTAGTGCATCTATACAGTGGAATACTACTCAGCAATAAAAATTAATGAACTATTGACTCATGCAACAATATAGACACATATATATATTTTTAATTTCAGGGGAGAGGTAATTAGGCTTGTTTGTTTTTAATGGAGGTACTGGGGATTGGACCCAGGACCCCATGCATGCTAAGCATGCACACTACCATTGAGCTATACCTTCCAACAATATAGACAAATATTAAATGCACTTTGTTAAGTGAAAGAACTCAAATGCCAGGCTCAAAAATGCCTATATTTTGTGTGATCCTATTTCTACGATATTCTGGGAAAGGCAAAATGATAGCGACAGAAAACAGATCAGTGGTTGCAGAGGGAATGCTTAGAGACAAGGAGTAGCTGATTGCAGAGGGATAGCACATGAGGATTTTCGGGGTGATGGAACTCTTCTGTGTGATATCACAATGGTGAATACATGACTCTATGCCATTGTCAAAATCCATAGAACTCTACAAAGACAGAACTTGACTATATAAAAAAATGTTAAAGTCATTCAATCCTAAGATAGAATGCATAGTGTAACATATGAATCTAAGTGAATTAGAAATATACATGGAAAATGTGGTGGTGATGTGGGGAAAGGATCTAAACTTAGTAATTTTGGAAAACAATGTTTTGACTGGATACTGTAAGGCTAAATACGAAAGGAACCATATGTGAAGAGTATAGCTGGCAAATTTGTTACAGGTTAAAAATTCTGGAACTACTTAACTGTGAACTAGTGTTGAACAAATAAGTAAATACATTGTAGCTAATGGGAGGTAGATGTCTCACTGTCAGAGAAAGGAGGGTGGTTGGCATGCTGTGGGGGCAAAGGGTGGAAGGTTAGAATAAACCCTGTGTTGCTGGATTCAAATTGGAGATATCATTATGAACTCATACTCATTCTGTATATGTCTTTGTCTATGTCTACATATCTATATAATACTACAGAATTTATGTAATAGAGTTATGTAAATATCCCTACATATAGATCTATAATCCATAAATATCTAGATACACACACAAATAGATTCAGAGATAAATATAGGTATAGTGTGTGTGTGTGTGTATATATATATATATATATATATATATATATATGGGTTAACATACATACATATTTTTGTTAGCTTTGTCTGCAAAGAGAACCCAAAAGGAGTGGCACCCCATTAGCAATGAGGACACGTAGCACCCAGATGTTGGCTTCTAAATACCATTCTCCAACAAAAGAACCCAGGGTTCCGTGGAAAACGACTGATTCTAGGGCTGGGGCAGGGAAAATACAAGGTAATCCTGGAGGAACTTGCATTACCAGAAATTAAGTGCAAAAAGGCAAGGGCATGTAACAAAGATACAAGAGACAGCCTGAAAGATGTTATGATTGCCAAAGCCAAAAAATTTGAACAATGTAATAAATAATGACATTAGATTATAACTCAAAGAATAAAATAGCCCTGTATAAATCCATACTGATAAATAAATGATCAAATAAATAACTAATGGAAGAGAAGAGACAAATCTCTTTTACAGAATTCCTGTTAATAAATGTAGAAGGAATGAGGGAAATAGAAAAATCATCATTAGACCATCA